CTGGAAACCTCTTGATATAAAGTTTGAGGAGAAGAAGATACAACCAACTCCATAAATGAAGTCCAATGTTACCTGGCTGAAAGCAACACATCCAGAACAAACCAGTTATACAATTGGAAAAATATCCAGAAAAAAATATCAACACCTTTATCAGCTCACATTTAAGTTTTGTGCTCGCCATCTTCTACTGTACTCTGTGAAAAAGTTTTTTCTAAGACAGGAGAACTGGTTTCTAAGAGAAATCATCTTGGAGCAAAAACACTTCAAAATCAATAAAAATGCATAAACTAATCAATTTTTAGTATTTTTAGTATATTATATATTATTAGTATTTTATTTTATATGGTTTAACACTTAAAAATTACATACATGAGTTAATTTTAACTGAGTTTTATTGCAGACAAATCTGCTGTTTTTTACAACTCTGTTTAGACAAAGTTTACACAAACAAGGTTTTAAGTAAGTTTTAAACTCTTCTCATGAACAACTTAACTCAGTAAACAAATTGAGCAAAAGAAATTATAGAATGATGAGATGATATTTTAAGTAAAGAACTGGCGATTCAAAATTTCACAGGCTGATGTTGGGTTTGCAGCATGTAATTTCATCTTATCTTCATTTTGTTTACGTGCAAGAATTTTATAACTACTGCAGGGGTCACAATTGAGTGACCAACACATTATCAATACAGAGCCGACACAGTTTGTGTAGTGTGTCAGTACACTCCTTGAAGTATCATCATCCCATCACTACACTCAACATCAGCCTCGGCACTATCGACGTATAACTGTTTATGTTCAGTTTGTGTGTATTTGCTTAGTAACATGGATGATGTCACAACAAACTCAACCCACAGTTCTGTGCAGAAGTGATGACATTTGTAGCTTTCTGTCACACCAGTAGCTACTGTACCTGTGTGCTCTCTGACTGCTGTCATGACTGATAAGAGATCCATTATTCATGACAGAGCATCACTTCAGACAGGACTAGAATACTCATTTAAAACTTGTTTTGCTGTCTGGTCATGCAGGGGTCAGTGTGGCATCGGCTGGGCTCGAAGGTCACAGCTGTGGAGTTCCTGGGCCATGTGGGTGGCATGGGCATCGACATGGAGATCTCCAAGAACTTCCAGCGCATCCTGCAGAAGCAGGGCCTCAAGTTTAAGCTCAGCACCAAAGTTCTGGGAGCCATCAAGAGGCCTGATGGAAAGATTGACGTGGCGTGAGTCCCTGGAAACCAGATTCTGTACATGTTCAGACCTGGACTGTTACAGTGCTGTGCAGTTTGTAAAAAGAAGGATGTGATGTTTCAGAGTGGAGGCTGCAGCTGGAGGGAAGAACGAGACCCTGACCTGTGACGTGCTGCTGGTCTGCATCGGCAGGCGGCCGTATACTGAGAACCTGGGTCTGGAAACTGTGGGGATCGAGCTGGACAACAGGGGTCGTATACCTGTCAACAACCGCTTCCAGACCAAAGTACCCAGGTACCACCTGGTGGTTTACAGCTGCCTTTGACTGTTTTTATTTTGAAAAATGTCTTGAGTTATCTTTAAATCTATAAGAATACATAAAGACAGAATAAGTCTAGACCAGGGGTCTGCAACCTTTACGATCAATAAATCCATTTCTGCTCCTCGGCTCACTAATAAAATGTGTCCAGAGCCGCAAAACAAGCCACAACTGCGATTATTAACTGGTGGTCCGTGGGCCTTTTTTAGGCCTTTTCGGAAACTTTTACGGCCATTGGAGTTGACATTATAAAACTAAAGACTATATTGTGAATTTTATTATTATTATTTTTACACATCAGGACAAATGAAAAGACCATAATCATGTAAACAATAAAAATACTGTACATTGTTTGTACCAAAATTTCATAAAAACTAGTAGAACTGTTCAGAATTATTATACATTGAATTATTCAGGCATAATTTTTTTTCTTCTAATTTCTATTATGTAGTTTTCAAAATCTTTAAAGGTGATTCTGGTGGATTTGAGAGAAGGATCATAGTAAGAAGTTGGATTGTTTAAACAACAAGCTAGCCTGAGCTAACGTGTTTTACTTTTTGTGTTAGTAGTATTGATCACATATTTGCATATATATTTATTTCTGTTGCGAGTATAAAAAACAAACAAAAACTTTATTCTGTTAAGTTTGGTCAGATTTTCAGAGAGCCTCTGCAGAGGCCACCAAAACCCCACATGTGGCCCCAGAGCCGCAGGTTGCAGACCCCTGGTCTAGACAAAAGCAGCAGAATTAATTTAGGTGACGAAGCTACAAAGTCTCAGGAGTCACACCCCACTGTAATCTGACTACATCATAATCAACTTTTACACCAGTTAAATAATTGTTCCCTCTCGTCTTTCCTCTCAGTATTTATGCCATCGGTGACGTGGTCGCAGGCCCAATGTTGGCCCACAAGGCTGAAGACGAGGGGATCATCTGTGTCGAGGGCATGGCCGGTGGCGCCGTTCACATTGACTACAACTGTGTTCCCTCCGTCATCTACACACACCCCGAGGTGGCCTGGGTGGGCAAGACAGAGGAGCAGCTGAAAGAGGAGGTGAGAGTCGGCCTTCGTACTGCATCATCATCATCATCATCATCATCACACATGTTTGTTCTCCTATCCTGTTTGTAGTGACTTCCATTCATTTACGGCCATTTCTATAGCCCCGTACCCTAAAGCTAACTTTAATTCTCACATTAGTCAGGGTTCATACCAGGTCTTAAAAAGTCTAAAAAAGTCTAAAGTTTGAAAATCAAAATTTTAGGCCTAAAAAGTTTTAAAAACGCCCAGATTTTCATCCAAGGTCTTAAATTTAATTTTGTCAAGTCTTAATTTTTTCTACTTTTGATCATTCCTGAGAACCGTTGGCTGCATAAATAAAGTTAAGAGTCGTAATCAGAGGTTGACACGATCTGATTTCATGAAGTGCTAAGTTTGCTACTGGTCCTGATTAAACTATAAATCCCATGATAACTGTAGGCAACAATGGCACAGTTTACTTCCATGTTTTTGACCTCTTTGCCGCTACAACCCCCCACATACACACACATACAGCGGCTTATTTACCTGCTCAAAAAAACAGAAGTTCAGTCATGTCCACTGCTTTTTGTTTAAACATGGGAAAGTGTGTTTTCAATGAGACTTGACTTGATATCAGTGATTTTTTTCACTCAGTTAAAAGTGTTCACAGCAGTCAGATATGACCGTTTCATTCAAATAATTTAGTGTTCTTGTATTAAAATTAAATATTCTTTAATAACTTAAATTGATAGCAATAAAAGGTTTCTATTATAAAATTTCTGGGACCATTTGTATGTTTCTGTTAATGCGTCGATTTGGTCGTAAATGTCATTCCTAATGGTCTTAAAAGGTCTTTAAAAGGTCTTAAATTTAACTTACTGAAACCTGCATGAACCCTGGTTAGTCCTGAACAGAACCTGTCTCCCTGCTGTTTTCCTCAGGGTGTCCCGTACAAAGTTGGCAAGTTTCCCTTTGCAGCAAACAGCAGAGCCAAGACCAACGCTGACACCGACGGCCTGGTGAAGATCCTCAGCCACAAAGAGACCGACAGGATGCTGGGAGCCCACATCCTGGGAACCGTAAGAACCCCACACAGTTCACACAAGTCTGAGCTGATGGGTCAGCTCAGTCCAGCTGTCGTGTTCTGACTTTATACAAATAAACTGTCTTATGGATCAGAAATATAGATGAAGTTAAAAGAACAACTCAGAGACTGCAAATAAACATGGACAACCGGGCTCCGCCCACTTTCATTAAACAAACATCAAACCATTCCACAAGCTCCAAACAGGTCGGACCTATGAAGACAACAGAGCTAAAGTCCCGTCCTGACTTTATGAAACTAAAGGACAGCTTAGCACAGAATTAAATAAATCTAGATTTTATTTGAATATTTTCTAATAACAAACTTAAAGCTAACTGGTCACGGGACTACATATTGGTAGTTTTATCTTTTCTTGCTGTATAATAGAACAAGTCTCTTGATTTGATTAGAAAAATATTCATTGGTTGAAAAAGTTCATACCTCCTTGAGTTTTCCACATTTGGTCTCATTTAATAGGTTTTTATATGACCGACCAACCAAAGCAGCACATAAACGTGGAAGTGGATGAAAAATGATTTGTGATCCAGGGGGTAAAAATATGTTTTTAAATTGCTGATTGGACGTTTTGTTGGCCTTAATTTTGAAATATGGACTCTGACGTGATTTGAAGTCAACCAAGGTATTAATAATGTCCCACGAATGGTTCAAATGGTTTATTAACTGTATACATGCAGCAATACTCTGGAAGTTGTTGCACATTTAGGTGAAATGGTGTGGGTACAGAGGAGCTGAGAGGTGGTGAAAGAAGCTAATGTTTATTTAAAGGTAAAACTGTATAAAAGTGAACACCTGTTGATCTCACCTGTAGGGGGCAGGAGAGATGATTAATGAAGCTGCACTGGCCATGGAGTACGGAGCCTCCTGTGAGGATGTGGCCCGGGTCTGCCATGCCCATCCTGTAAGTACTGTTCTATACACCAAAACATTATGTTGTGTGTTTATATATTTACTTTTATAAATCCCATGTTTTTACAATTTGACTTATTTCATTTAGAAAGTAAAATCAAGTTTATTAATTAAAAATATTAAAAATATTATTTATTATTTTCATCCAAAGCTTTGTTACTGTCTTACATTTTAACTTTAACTGGTAAGTTTTAGGTTTTAGATGTAAAATTGCCACTTTCTTTCCTCTACCTTCTGCAGACGGTGTCAGAAGCTTTTCGAGAAGCCAACCTGGCTGCTTCCTTTGGCAAAGCCATCAACTTCTAACCTGCCAGCTGCTGCAACACCTTCAGTCGTCAGCACAGCGTGTCCGACTCGAAACTTCCCCAGCTTCAGCCGGCTGGGACCCTGTGTACATCTAAACTACCACCATCACATTCATGTTATTTAAATGTTCTCAACAAAACAATAAAAGCCATTTGAATGACAAAGACACACTGACTCTGTTTTCTAACACATGCAGTGAAACCAGATGTTAGTGTAACAGAAGACACAATTCTTTAGATATTTTTATTTATTTCTTCAAAGTCACAAGTTTGCATATATTTTCTTTATTTTTGTTAAAATTGCCATTAAGCTGTGTGTCATGATCAAAGAAGCAGAGTGTGTTTTAGTCTTTTAACTCAAATGTTGTCAACTAATCTAACAGTTTCAAAAACTATGACATCACCTGGGCTTTCCCAAACGTTTTAAAGAAAGAACCTGTTTTCATCTGTGTGAACAAATGTTCTTTGGGATGAAAATAATAACCAGTTGTTTGACTTCAGTCTAGAGTTTCTCAAAGCCACATCCCAGCTTCTGACTGAATTTATTGTATCCAGACTTTGGATTTCTTCAGTAAAGTTGAAATGTTTGGCTTTTTGAATGTATTTTGATGGTTTCTTAGCTGCCTTAATGGCCTGTGGTTTTTACTAAAACTCAGTAAAGTGAATAAAACAAAGACAATAAATAAGTTTTTTGAATAAAACAGTAAACTCTTGGTTCTGACTGAAGGTTTTCATCCATCGTTACCCATCTTTTCCTGCAGAGTCACATGGTGTCTCCAGAGGTCACTGTGGGGCTGAGGAGACCATGGACACAGTCTGCAGTCCATCACAGGGACGTAAAGACAAACAAAGTCTTCCTGTTCACCCCTAAACCTTGTACTTCTCAAATTTTCTCATTACATTTCCAAGCAGCCAAACTGTCATATTTTAAAGTAGCTGATCAGCAGTTCTTTAGGTTTGACAAGAGACTCAGTTTTCTTCTTTGGACTTTGTTGGCTTTTTATTTAGTGGTATTATTTAGTATTTTAGCTGACTGAAGGCACATTGTGCAGCGTGTTTAAAATGCAGTAAATATCAGCTGCACACTGAGGAGTTAAATAGAAATAATGTTTTTGATACACCCGGTATATTAGAAATCTAAATAAGTTCAGTAGGAAAGATTACAAAGAGGGATGAATGTTGTTTCATTCCTCCAAATTAAAAACAAAGTATTCTTGTAACTCCACCTGTGTTTGAACACTGACTGTGTGTGTGTGTGTGTGTGTGTGTGTGTGTGTGTGTGTGTGTGTGTGTGTGTGTGTGTGTGTGT